CTTTATAGATTTTGGATACTAACCCTTTATCTGATATGTTGTTTGCAAATATCTTCTCCCATTCCATCGGTTGCCTTTTAGTTTTGCTGATTGTTTCCTTCATCGTGCAGAAGCTTTTTATTTTGATGAGGTCCCAGTAGTTCATTTTTGCTTTTGTTTCCCTTGTCTCTGGAGACGTGTTGAGTAAGAAGTTGCTGTGGCCAAGATCAAAGAGGTTTTTGCTTGCTTTCTCATCGAGGATTTTTATGGCTTCTTGTCTTACATTTAGGTCTTTCATCCATTTTGAGTTTATTTTTGTGTATGGTGTAAGAAAGTGGTCCAGGTTCATTCTTCTGCATGTCATTGTCCAGTTTTCCCAGCATCACTTTATTCCATTGGATATTCTGTCCTGCTTTGTCAAAGATTGGTTGGCCATATGTTTGTGTGTCCATTTCTGGGTTCTTTATTCTGTTCCATTGATCTGATTGTCTGTTCTTGTGCCAATACCATACTGTCTTGATGATTACAACTTTGAAGTATAGCTTGAAGTCCGGGATTGTGATGCCTCCTGCTTTGGTTTTCTTTTTCAGGATTGCTTTGGCTATTTGGGGTCTTTTCTGGTTCCATACAAATTTTAGGATTATTTGTTCTAGCTCTGTGAAGAATGCTGGTGTTATTTTGATAGGGATTGCATTGAATATACAGATTGCTTTGGGTAGTATCAACATTTTAACAATATTTATTCTTCCTACCCAGGAGCATGGAATCTTTTTCCATTTCTTTGTGTCTTCTTCAATTTCTTTCATGAGCTTTCTATAGTTTTCAGTGTATAGATTTTTTACCTCTTTGGTTAGATTTACTCCTAGGTATTTTATGGATTTTGGTGGAATTGTAAATGGGATTGATTCCTTGATTTCTCTTTCTGTTGCTTCATTGTTGATGTATAGGAATGCAACTGATTTCTGTGTATTGATTTTACATCCTGCAACCTTCCTGAATTCATGAATCAGTTCTAGCAGTGTTTTGGTGGAATCTTTTGGGTTTTCCATATAGAGTATCATGTCATCTGCGAAGAGTGAAAGTTTGACCTCCTCCTGGCCTATTTGGATGCCTTTTATTTATTTGTGTTGTCTGATTGCAGAGGCTAAGACTTCCAATACTATGTTGAATAACAGTGGCAAGAGTGGACATCCCTGTCTTGTTCCTGACCTTAGGGGGAAAGCTCTCGGTTTTTCCCCATCGAGGATGATATTAGCATTGGGTCTTTTGTATATGGCTTTTATTACCTCAAGGTATGATCCTTCTATCCCTACTTTCTTGAGGGTTTTTATCAAGAAAGGATGCTGTATTTTGTCAAATGCGTTCTCTGCATCTACTGAGAGGATCATATAGTTCTTGTCCTTTCTTTTATTGATGTGATGAATCACACTGATTGTTTTCTGGATATTGAACCAGCCCTGCATCCCAGGTATAAATCCTACTTGGTCATGGTGAACAATTTTTTTATGTATTGTTGGATACAGTTGGCAAATATCTTGTTGAGGATTTTTGCATCCATGTTCATCAGGGAAATTGGTCTATAGTTCTCCTTTTTAGTGGGGTCTCCATCTGGTTTTAGAATCAAGGTAATGCTGGCTTCATAGAAAGAGTTTGGAAGTTTTCCTTCCATTTCTATTTTTTGGAACAGCTTCAAGAGAATAGGCATTAACTCTTCCTTAAATGTTTGGTAGAATTCCCCTGGAAAGCCATCTGACCCTGGACTCTTGTTTTTTTGGGAAATTTTTTATTACTAATTCGATTTCTTTACTGGTTATGGCTTGACCTCTGAATTATTAACAAGCTCCTCAGTCAAATACGATGAGCAATTAAATTTGGGAACAAATGCTCAAGGGCAGGAATTGTACCCATTTCAGACAGGCTAACTTAGGAAAGGACTCAGTCATTCTCCTTATAACCACATAGGTAGCTGCTCTCCTTCCACAAGGGACCTAAACCTATGCACACAGACAAGGTGGTGGGTATGTTTTATAATGTAGGCCCTTTTATTATTCAGGTATGATGAGGCCATTAGATCAGTTTAGCTGCCACTGAAAATACAGTTTGCTATTCACAGTCCCTGCTATAGACTGAATTGCATCCTCCGCCCCCTAAATTCATATGTTGAAGCCTTAACCCCCAATGTAACTGTATTTGACCATATTTGGAAATAGAGCCTTAGGAGGTAATTAAAGTTAAATGAGATCAGAAGGTCCTGATCCAGTGAGATTGATCTCCTTTTAAGAAGATACACCAGAGAGCTTACAGGCATGCTCCTGCTTTCTTTCTCCCTGTCTGTCTGTCTCTCTCTCCCCCGCCCCCTTTTTCCCTTCATCCTTCCTACCCTCCTTCCCTCCCATGAGAGGATATAGTTAAGAAAGCAGCTGTCTACAAGCCAGGAAGAGAGCTCTCACCAGAAACTGAATCAGCCAGCACCTTGATCTTGAACTTTCCAGCCTCCACAAGTGTGAGAAACAAATTTCTGTTGTTTAAGCCACCCAGTCTGTGGTATTTATTATGGCAACCAAAACTGACTACTCAGTTCCCAAGATGAGGGGACACAGCACACCACACCACACAGGGCCACACAGGGCAGCACCAGGGACAGTCAGGAGGCTTGAGAGAACAAGAAGAAAACATGAGCAAGAGTCTTTATTGTGGATTTTGCAGGAGGATGGAATGGGTGAGGGAGAGGAAGCAGGTTTAGGATTGGCTGGCTGAATAATTTCAGTGGGTTCTGGGGTATAGGAGTTACCCCAAGTTGTCTGCTACCTGGCCTGGCTTGCAGTATTGAGTGTGAGGGCCATAGGCATCACAGCAGGCTCTGGATCAGTTAAGCTGCATACAAAAGTGCACTCCTGGGTCATTTATGCTCTCTAGGAATTAGCTAGCCTTGGAAGGAGCAGTCTTTCCAGGGGCAGCAAGGACCCCTGATGTCAAAGCAATAACAAGGCAAGATATTAATATAGGGTAGAAAAGAAAAGGCCATGAAGACTAAAGACCACTGGAAAGAGGAGAACATAGGAACAAACCAGTTAGGAAAACCACTGCTGACCTTGCAGAAGTAGGCAGCTCACCCACTGTCACTCAAGAGCATGTTTTCTGCCTACCTGCTGTGGGTCTTGGCACTCAGATCCTTTAAGAACGCTATAGTGCCTTCTCCTCTGGCATTGAAAGACACTGTGCAGACAGGACATGGGATCTCCAAAGCCTTCTGAAGGAGAAGCTCCTTGGTTTGCTCAGGAATGTCTCCCACCACAAAGTAGTAAATGGATTCCACCTGCAAGACAGTAGTACTGACAATTTATCTCCCTGACGTGCCCCAGCCTTGTACTGAATTCACTGGCAATATACTTTCTACAAAATTGCCTTGGGACAGTGGGGGACAGCAGGAATAACAGCACTATTCCATGTTTTGTGAGGACATTTAGAGGCTGAAGTCAGGAAGTGAACTATTCAAGGCCTGGTGCCAAGAAGGTCTATTGGCAGTGCTCACGGTCTCAGATATTGCATGGGAAGGATATGATTGGCCAATGTGGAAAATAGCTTCCACTAAGCCCCCGGATACAGTCGACAGGTCAGGAGTGGCTGTTTTCAACATGAAGGACGTGTTGGCACAGCCGCAGTGGGCAGGAAGCTTATTAACCATCTCCCATGGTGGTGCCAGAATTCTACAGACTCATCTATCTTCAGTCTGAGGCAGAATGGGGGAAGGAGGGCATATTCCCACTGGGTTCATGCTCTGCTCTCATCTCACAAGGAAACACATGCCTGGGAGGTGAGACTGTCCTGACTTCATGCAGCACTGGGCCTTGACTCTCACCACCATGCCAGGCCATGACGAGAATGAGAGAATGAACAAACCCATGTCAGGAGCCCCACCACACACACACCCCAACTTTCAGCTAGGGATATGGGAGATGTATACCTCATCTAGGTAGGAGACAATTCCAAAGTGCTCCCTGCTTAATTTAGAGACACATGAAATCCACCCAAGGGGGCCGCATGACAAGGTTCCACCCCGACCTCAACCACACTGCTCTTGCTCTTCCTGCAAATTCTGCCTCTCACAGTGTTTGCCCTCCCTGCTAATGAGGGAGGGCAATGAGAACTAATGAGTTCTATGAAATTGGGCAAGTGATAGAACTTCAGTTTCTTCACTTATACAAAGGGAGGTAACACAGTGTCCCTTGTGACTAAGTTTAAACGAGATGACTTCCACTTATGCATGTATATATTTCAGAAAGTTAAAACCCAGCAGCACATATCATCTGAATCTGTCCCTAAAAGCACCCTCATAGATTGTCCCCATGGCTAACTGGGGGAGAACCCCCAGAAAATGAAATGGGTTTGAAGGAAAAAATAGGTGTCACCATCCCCTTAGGACTCCTGAGCCTATCTCTAATCATAAAGCCCTATGAACTGAAGGTAAATAGTCAGGTGCCTCAGTTCGACTTCAAACTGGGACTCAAACCCACCTGGCACTTATGAAGAGGACTTATGGTCAGCTCTCCAGCTGGCTGGGCCACCCGGTTTGCAGCAGCTGGGGCCAACTGTGCCCAGGGAGATGGTGAGAGCAGGGTGGCAGAGGGCCCCGGCTGGGAGAGAGGCCACGGCCAGAGTGGAAGCTGACAGCAGCCTACTCCAGCAACAGCCTTTCTTCCATGGGGCTCCCACACTCATGACTCTTTCTCTCAAGGCTTTCCAACCACGATTTTAAAAAGGACCTAACTGGGGGCACCTGGGTGGCTCAGTCGGTTAAGCGTCTGACTTTGGCTCAGGTCATGATTTCGTGGTTCATGGGTTCAAGCCCTGAGTTGGGTTCTGTGCTGACAGCTCAGAGCCTGGAGCCTGCTTCAGATTCTGTGTCTCCCTCTCTCTCTGCCCCTCCCCCACTCACACTCTGTTTCTCTCTCTCCCTAAAGAATAAATAAATATTAAAAAAAAATTTTAGGGGTGCCTGGGTGGCTCAGTTGGTTAAGTGTCCAACTTCAGCTCAGGTCATGATCTCATGGTTTATGAGTTCGAGCCCCACATCGGGCTCAGAGTCTGGAGCCTGCTTCGGATTCTGTGTCTCCCTCTCTCTCTGCCCCTCCCCTGCTCATGCTCTGTCTCTCTCTGTCTCAAAAATAAATAAAACATTAAACAAAAAATTTTTTAAAGACCTAATGGGGGGTAAAGACTGAGCAATACTACACATTTCTTTCAGCCAGTCACCAAGAGACAGAAAACAAAACAAAACAAAACAACATTAAAGGAAGGAAAAAACTGTTCTTCACATTCCTTGTCAGGCAGCTAGTATTATTCTCCCAGCAAATGCATTCTCTTTCCCTTTTTCCCCCATGTTACACATTACCTTGTGTGAGACAGGTTAAGTAGGCTCCCTTCAGTTGCACTGTTAGTAGTGTTCCAGCTGGGTCAGGGCTCAAGTTTAGCAGGAGGACAGGTTCAACCTCACATAAAGATCTAAAGTCACACATGGCCCAAGAGAGGAGTCTTGAGATTCTTTCCTAGGATTTGTTAGCTCAACAAGGGAAGTGGTGGGGGCAAACATCTCTAGGAGGGAGGTCTGTCAGCATCTTCTGACACCATGCATCTCTGTTGCACATTGTGCAAACTCAGCTTCTCTGCTCTGGCAATAACCCAAGAGTCTGAAATCCTTGTGCATAAATGTTTTTCCCTTGAGATTTCATCAAGCTAAAAATTGATGTAGCCAGCAGTGAGTCAGGATTTCCTTTCCTTTACTCAGGTTATGGGGTTATTCACTATTCATCAAGTTCATTGCTCAGTTTCTTAATTGCCTAGGTTTTTGGTTATCCATGCAGGGTCCATATTTCCTGGGACATGCTCTACAACGAGACCACCTGTCCCACTCTCAGTCACCCCCTACACACTGCCTTCCTGCCTCTCCTTTCCACTCACATAATGACACTGAGAAAAAAAGAAAAAAAATATGCTGCTACCTAGCCCATTCCCCCACAAACTGGCAAAACACCTTTTAAAGTGAAATGGCTTTGGGGCGCCTGGGTGGCGCAGTCGGTTAAGCGGCCGACTTCAGCCAGGTCACGATCTCGCGGTCCGTGAGTTCGAGCCCCGCGTCGGGCTCTGGGCTGATGGCTCGGAGCCTGGAGCCTGTTTCCGATTCTGTGTCTCCCTCTCTCTCTGCCCCTCCCCCGTTCATGCTCTGTCTCTCTCTGTCCCAAAAATAAATAAAAAACGTTGAAAAAAAAAAAAAAAAATTTAAAGTGAAATGGCTTTGGGGTCATCTGCTCTTTGGGATGATAAGCCAACACAGATTGTTTTATTCAACACTCACAACAGTCCTGTGGAAAATGAATTCTTATTATTGCATCCTGTTTACAGATGAAGAAACTGAGGTCTGGACAGGTAAATTGACCTGGTCTTACAGCTAGTAAATCAAGCTCCCTGACCCCCATAGGAGCTTCTGCCTTTGCTTTCAACCACTTTATTCTGTTGGCTCATCATGGCAAGGCTGGTTACCTCTTAGAGATGGACGTGAATTCCAGAACTGTGTACGCGAGATCATGGGACAGGAAGGTGACCAGAAACAAGCACTGTTTTCACTTCCTTGGCGCCCACACCATTCAAGGCTCCTAGCCCATGAAATCAATATCACTGACCAGAAATTGGGTGAGGTTGTCTGGCTCAAGGGAACTGTCTTCATTGGAATCCTCTCCCCTTTCCCCAGTACCTCTGAGCTTCTTAGGACAAGGGCCAGTCTTAAGGGTGAGCAACAGCGGTGAGGACCAGGAGCAGCCTTCTCACTGACCAGCATTTCCCTAAATGCTAATCTGCACTGAATTTGATAACACAAGACATAGAAAATATTTTGGGTTCCATTCAGCTATTTTACTGTGAGCTGAAAACTTTACACCACCGAAAATAGGGTGGAACGTTTCTGTTTTCACTTGAAATATCTTATTCTGCCTGGGCCATTTGTTCCACGGCTTCCCACGGCAACCTGCATTCCGCCTAGCCAAAGAAGCCTTGACATCTTCTCAAACACAGGTTTGGGGGAAAAGAAGAACCAGACTGGCAGTGGCTGCTTCTTCCCTGACTGCCCTCTGCCACGGCTTGTCGGAAACCTCTGAGTGTAAAAATCTCCACTCTGCGAGAAGTCAGATGAAAGTCAACCAGAACGGCAACCAGAGGTCTAACAAAATTCTCCTATCCTTCATAAAATTTTAACCATTTCAACAGTTTTGACCAACTCCAGACCTTGGATCTGACCTCCAAATCTTCCCAGTACCTGTGGGGACTCTTTCCTGATTCAGCCTATTTTGATTTTTCTGATCCCTCCATGGTGGTGACTGCCCTCTTGATATTAGCCCAGCTCAGTTCTCCAATCCCTGGTAACACCCTTGACCACCACCAACTTTCTGGCCTCCCAGGCTTCCAAGTCCCTGTCTCCACCTACTATCCCCACCAGCCCTGTCACACAAGGCTCAGCAAATTCACCGGCCTGGTCCCACACAGACCACTACACTTCAATTCAAAATAATCAAATCTGTACCACAGCATAGTCAATGGGAATTTCTTGGATGCACATCTCGTCCCAACCTCAAAATTATCAACATTACTTCTTTCCCATTCCTTCAATGTACAACAAACACCTATCAAGATGTTGCCAGGCACTGCCATCTCTAGGGACAAAGGTGAAAAGATCTGATGCCTGTCTGACCCACTGCCAAGCTCATGATTGGTGTGGCCAGCCCTTCAGTTTACTGTCCAGTGCTGAAAGCTCCTTATGGAATCATGTGGGTCTGTCTCTAATTCACCCCCTTAGCCTCCCAGTGAATGGGATTTTTTTTTTAAGTAAACAAATGTGTGCCTATCACCTGGATGGAAGAGAGGCTGAGAGAACACAAAGAGAAACGTAGGTGCCCTTTGGGCAGGTAGCCTTCTGCTGAAAGCAGAAGCAAAGCCCCCTCAGTTATCTTTCTTAGGCAGCTAGGAATCAGGGCTTTGGATAATCAGGCTTCTCTTTCCTAACGACCCCTCACATCCTGGATCACTAGGCATTCCAGGGCCTCCTGGCACAACACTCCTCTTCATTAAGGTCAAGGAAGCTACCAACTTCCCAAAGACCTATCCTGGGACCACAGGATGCTGCAGAGCAGAAACCCTGGGCTGGATGGCACACCTGGGCTCTGAGGACAATGCCAGCCCCTCTAAACTGCCAGACATTTCCTCAGTACCCCACAGGCTGCCTTCCCATGAGCCAGGCCTTTTGGCGCAGGATACAAGAGTACTTCATCAACAGTGCTCTCTAAGTGCTGCCATCAGAGCTAGGATTAAACAGACCCCACACTGCCTGGCTCCTCTGGATTCAAAGGCTCACCCTCAGTCATCCCTGCCTGTTCAGTCTTCTGGTCCAATCATGGGTACAAAGCCCAGTTCTGGAGGAGGCCAGTAGCCTCTGATTATCCTCCTTCACACTCACCAAGTGCATCAGTCAGCCCTTCCTCCTCAAGTGGAACCTGATACCAAAACCCAACTCCCGTGTTAATCTTTGAACAAAAGACAATCCCCACTCTCTTGGTTCTTCTCAGAACTCACTCATAGGAGATGCTAACCCAAAGCAAGTTATCATCAGCAGGATTTACTGTTCAAAAGGTTTCTTAAGCCTTACATATTTTCTATTCAGAGAAAACTACAGCTACATGGGTAATTTTGGAACTCACTGGGGTGGGCATGAGGGGCACAGGTCAGAGAAGCAACCAGTAAGGGAAATCTATTCCTCTCCCTACCCTATATACCTCACAAAACATAGAGAATGGCATTTTTATATATGAGGCAGTTATAGTTACTAGAAATTTCCTATGGACCACAACCAGGTAGAAGCTCTAGGAGGACTGATGCAGTGGTCTGAATCTGTTTTGTATTTGCCATACTCCACAGTCTCTTCTCAAGAGTTTTCAAGTGGCATTTGATAATCTCTGGGTTCTTAATCCTCTACAGAACTTCCCTGGCACTCACTAAATTGTTTCATGTTTCCTGGGCTGGGGATGAACCCGAGAAAGGAGAAGCACAAACCAGGGGGAAGTAAAACAGAAAATCAAGGTCACTGGGAAATCTTCAAGTCATGGCAGGTCGCCAGAGTCTGCTATGACTGAGGAAGCCAGGTGAACAAAGAAACAGAACACCCATGTGTGCATCCTAGATCCTGTGAAATGTTCCATTTCTTGAATCTTTATTATAGTGTCCAGACAACTGAAACTTTACAGATGTTTAAACAAACTTGAAAGGCCAAAGAACAAAGTAGCTTGTATTTTGTTCTTTAATGGGAACATTTGTTCCTCTGGCTTCGAAAGGATAAACAATGCATTTCCAATATCAAACCATCATCCCCAGTATCAATGAAAACAATCTGGTGACCACAGGGGGCTATCCTTTCAAGGTGCCAGCACATGGCCTCCTTGCCCAAAAGAAAAGGCTCTTTAACATAGCAGAGAAAAGCTTGAATCTACAGAATCACTGGGCGCCCAGAGCAGAGGAAGCAATTAAGTTTTAATACCAATCAAAAATTAATTGAGTATCTGTATCCCAAAGGAAAGCAGATCTACCCCCACCTGGGGAGCTGAGACTGTCCAAAGGACCCCACCTGTCCAGAGTCCTTGCCCACTAACTTGCCACTGCCCTTCAGGTCCCATCCTTAGAATCACTCACAAAAGCTCATACCCTTGTGGCTAAAAGAACATAAACCACCACTATTTCAGCACTTCTTCTAGGTAAGGCTTTGTGTCCAAAGGGTCCTATCAAAAAGCATGTGCAAATGCATTAACATTCAAAAGTGGATGACTCATCTGCATGGATATACTTCACCTTGGAAGGCACGTAACAGACACATTTGTGAAGAAGAGGGACTGGGACAGACTCAGAACACAGATGTGGGGAAACTACTTCCTCGATCTCAGGGTTCTATGAAGAGTCTTCCAGCCTCTCTTCCCCATTAGAGATGGACTGATTTATCTAACTGTCGGGAGAGCAAGAGCAGAATTAAAATATTAAAGATGCACAACTATGCCTAATTCCCTGTCCTTTCTCAATGCTCAGTGGATGTGAGCAGCATGTGGCTCTGCTGGCACTGGTTAAATAAGGGTCTACCCTGTGCCCTGATCACCCAGAGGGAGCCCTGCCAGGCTCAGGGGGCAGCATTATGGAGCCTCATTGTGGTTGGTCCAGCTCAGCCATCACCAAAGTTGCTATTTTGATCCCCACCTGGGGCCCGTCACTGATTTCTCAGTTGGTTCCAAATTCAGAGGTGAACAGGATTTATAGGACTCCTCAATGCCAGTGATGTAGCCTCTGTGGGATGCTGCTGGGAGGGGTAAGGGCTAAGGTCAGTTGAAAGGCAGTATGAGGATACTGGGTGTAGAGAGATAAACTTGAAGCCACCTACGTGACCTGGGGCCCACCATGGATGCACACTTACCGTTTTGTCTTGCCCAGCTTCCAGCAGTGCGTCCAGGCGGCTAGCATGGCTCACAGCCAGCTCAAAAGGCAGTTTTTCAACCCAACTGATGGCAGCAGCTATGGACTGTCCTGTCACAGGAGCAGCATTTTCCTGCCATTTCACAGGCTCCTGAGAAACCCTGAAAGGAATCACATGGGGCTGTCATGGGGCAGTGGGCAACATAGCTATCAGCCTTCAGGCCCACACCTGCGAGCAACAAACACTTAACATCACCAGAGCTGAAGGAAAGAACACGCAGCTCCCAGCCCTTGTTGAAAGTTACCAACAAAATAGGCAAGCTGCTTAAGATGGGTTTGCAAAGCACCATTATCTTTCATAAGTGTACTGACTAGGAAGAACAATGTGTACGGGAGGGTTAAAAAAAATCTCAAAAATGGGGGCACCTGGGTGGCTCAGTCAGTTAAGTGTCTGACTTCTGCTCAGGTCATGATCTTGTGGTTCGTGGGTTTGAGCCCCATGTTAGGCTCTGTGCTGACAGCTCAGAGCTTGAAACCTGCTTCAGATTCTGTCTCCCTCTCTCTCTGCCCTCCCCTGCTTACGCTCTGTCTCTCTCTCAAAAATAAACATTAAAAATCTCAAAAATGCAAACATTAACAGCTGTATTAAAACTACTGAGAGAGTTATTTTCATAAACAGGCAGTTTTATATACAACTATCTTCAATTAATAGTAAATTTATAAGGACTCACAGCATTAATATTTACAAATCAGCAATGATTTCATTATGCTAGAATTTTATTTCTAATTCTTTTAAGACGTTGTTTTCATTGTTCTGAATTCACATCAGTTACCTCTTCTGGATCAAAAATAATATTGAGTTTAGCAGAGCATTAGTTTTTAAATCCTGGGAACATGTGATTAAACAATTTAGTTTGGACTTAGAAAAAAAGTGATAGAATCCCCCCAAGAAAGAACAGCCATTTGAATTTATTTATCTCTGGGGTACATGAGTGGCTCAGTCGGTTAAGCATCCGACTCTTGATTTGGGCTCCGGTCATGATCTCACGGTTCATGGGTTCAAGCCCCGCATCGGGCTCTGTGCTGATAGCATGGAGCCTACCTGGGATTCTCTCTCTCTCCTCCCCTGCTCTCTCTCTCTCTTAAAAAAAATAAATAAACAAACTTTGAATTTATGTATCTCTGTGTTTATAATTGAACAAATTATATGAATCATACATGCATTCATAATTATAAGAATTATATGAATCTTGGATTAATGAGCCAGCCCGAGCTGTCCCTGATAGCCCACCTTCAGAGACAAAGGCTGCCTCATACCTGTGTCACCTCTGTGTGGCTCCTCTGGGTAGAAATCTGGCTGAGTGGCCTATATGCTACAGAATGTTTCCAAGAAAGTTAAAGCATTGCAAACTTAAGGCTCAATTCCCTCAGTAATATATCTGTCACAGAAATAGGAATCTGGGATAGAACACAATTAAGCAGCACCCCCAAAGATGTTATCTGTTTAGCTGAAACTGTTTTATTTTAAAGAAAAACTCAGTTAGGTAGATGGCCTTCATCCAGATTTTTCCCGTCAGAGAGGTACAGCCAATGTTCCACATGAAAAGTTGGCCTTAGAGCCCAAATTCTCTCGAATCCAAAAATCCGTAAATAATTGGTTGTGAAAACTCTGAAATATGGGAAATTCTATAAAGCCAATCACCTGTTGTTCTGATTTAAGAGGGTCGATTTACAGGGGAGTCATAAGCTCAGTCTGAAAAAAGTGATACTTGTGACAAGGTTGAATTCATTATATAAGATAAAATCACCTAAAGGATTTTATGGCCTTAAATATATATTCAATAAAATTCCTATTCTTCTATTTTGACCTTGCTATGCATTGAAGAAAAGTAGGTTTCTAAATCTCTTCTCATCTGAAAACTAAGATGCCACATGCAAAGCAGATCAAAGTTTTACTGTGGGTCTTCTGCTGGAATTACATATTCCAGGAAATGACAAAATAAGACCTCCTTACTCCCCATAGAACTATGTTAGTTATGTTACTTAACTCCGAATAAATGGAAGCTACTTATGAAGTTTCCCAGAAATATCCTCTTCCTATGGGAACTCACCATATGATATTAAACTTGGCTATGTGAGCCACCTGCTCCTGGAGGACCATTATTAGAGCATCTTGGCACAGATTAAGCTCCTCCTCCCGCATGCTGCCAAAATCCAGCACTATGGTGATGCACTGTTCCAAGATGACACCAAAAATCTGGCGGCTTCTGCTGGTGAGCCAGTCCATCCGCTGCTTGTAGCTCTCCACAGCTTGTGTTAAATATTCCACAAACTGATAGATCAGTTCTGACTTAGCTGTCAACTTAATGGAAATCAAAGCAAAGAACAAAAAACAGAACAAAAACACACCATAATACATCATCTGAACTACCATGAAGCCAAGAACCACAGGGCCCACTGAGTCATGACCTCTGCCATCAAGAATTGGACACTAATAACAATTCTGTAGATGATCCTCTAAACCCCACATAATCCAGAAGGAAGTGCTTCAGTCTTTCAAGTGAAAACCTTTGGATGATTCCTCACAGAAGAAATGATGATGATGTGATCTATCCAACATATAACACTTTTTTAAAAAAAAAATGTGTTTCTAAATTATATTTTATCTTCATAGTTACAGAATTATCTTTACCAGAAAATGTTCAGGGGGGCATTTTAAGGAATTAGGTAGAAGAAAAGAACTTTCAAGGAATTCAGTAGAAGAAAAGAGAGATCAGCAAAGGCAGATGGAAAAAAATAAGTCTCTCTAAAAAGTTTTCCTAACACCAAGATGCCAAAAATATTTGTGAGAATGCTTCTAGATTTGCCAGCACACCTGCCTGGCTTCCTCTAAGAGATGTGCCCCAGTGACGCATCCTCCTGGTCACAACCTGCACCCTGTATCCTCTGTCTCCCAGGCCACACTGCCCCATGCCTGGATCAGTGGATCACGAACACCTGCAGAGGCTGTGCCTGAAAGGTGACAGAGACTTGCAGGCAATTTCTTGTAGACACAAAAAAACGATCATTCACACAGACCAGGCACAACTGTGCAAGGCCTCTTAGGGTGCAGGGAGGTAGGAGACATAGAAAAGGAATAAGAAAAAAGTGTGCCCTATTCTGTGAAGAATCAAATTTTGAAAGATCTGGTACTTATTTTTAACTTTAACAACCCTCAGAATACCCCTTAAATACCTAAATTGTTAAGGAAAATGTGTTTTCTGAACACACCATGTAATTCCACATTTTCATGCCTTGGCTCACGCTGTTCCTTCTGCCTCAAACTGTTTTCCTTCTCTATCTCCTGTGTCTCTCCAGCTTATTCCTCAAGCTCCAGCACCACTTCCTGTTGCTTTCCATGGTTCCTTAGGGCAAAATTCCTAAATCTCTCACCAGCATTCACAGAACTTATTAAAGTTTCTACCACGATACAGAAACCAGGGTAGGACCATGTCATAGGGGCTGTGGAGGTGGTCAGATGGCAAAGACAGATGTTTTCAATAGTTCTGTACTGATTTTCATGTGGTTAAGATAAAAAATATATTTAGCACACCAAACTCAAGATTCTATGGATATTATTGCTAAGTTCAAAAAGTAATGTAAACTTTTTTAAATATTTAGAAATAACAGGGGTGCCTGGGTGGCTCATTTGGTTGAGCATCTGACTCTTGATTTCAGCTCAGGTCCTGATCCCAGGGTCATGGGATGGAGCCCTGTATCTAGCTCCACACTGAGCATGAAGCCTGCTTGGGATTCTCATTGGCTCTCTCTCTCTCTCTCTCTGTCTCTGTCTCTCCCTCTATCCTTCTCCTCCACTCACATGCTTTCTCTAAAAGGAAAAAAAAGGAGGGGGGGGCACCTGGGTGGCTCAGTCGGTTGAGCGACCAACTTCGGCTCAGGTCATGATCTCACCGTTTGTGAGGGCGAGCCCCGCGTCGGGCTCTGTGCTGACAGCTCAGAGCCTGAAGCCTACTTTGGATTCTGTGTCTCCCTCTCTCTCTGCCCCTCCCCCATTCATACTCTGTCTCTCTCTGTCTCAGAAATAAATAAACATTAAAAAAAAATTTTAAGAAAAAAAAAGATATAGCAGTCCAGGTGGTACATAGATGTACAGTGACACGAACAAATATCTGTAAAGTGACATGATGGGATATGAGTTTTTGTGAGTTCCCTGTGGTGTACCAGGGTGTGCACAGGGGCAGACACGTTATGAGACTACACGAGTCACGTGTTGAATTGCCGGAATTAAGGACTCCAGTAAGAGGTGCTGCTTGCTATAAAACCACTAGCTATAAAAGTAGCCCCCTGTTCCCTGTGCATTGTCAGGTAACAGCAGCAGCTCTTGCCTGTCTGCTAACTTCTGTCATACTACACCTTCTTTATTTTCAAGGCAAAACAAAGTACTATTGATATGCGAAGGTTTTCACTTTCTGGTCAACAATTTCATGCACTCATCTCTAACAGGTCAAGTGCTTCCCTTCCCAGCCCCTAAGCCATAACTTTCATCACTCTCCACATGGCCAGAAGAAAGCCTCCAGCCCTGATAAGGCCTGGGCTCCACTGCATCAATAGGAAGCAGTGTGAGCCTCTCCACATAGGCCACTCCCAGACACCAGAAGCATGTCACTGGGCCTATCCATCAAGGGAACTCCGACTTACATTGTATACTCTGCCATCTTCGGGTCTGTAGAACTGTGGAAACAGGCCATCTGCATACCGGGAAGCCACGAGTCTCCCCAGAGAAGTCACGTAATCTGTATTTTTATAAAGAAAAGCAGTCAAAATGGTGCATTATCAATGTTTCTTATTTTTATTTCAAAATGGTTTTCTCTGACACCATTCAAATTATATCCCCAGTGACACCAAAAATCTGTGATGCTTGGTATTCTGTCCTAAATAATGAAGTGTTTCTAGGTGCTATGGTATATGTTAACTATTTATGACATGCATAACCCTTTAATGCACAAATGAATGGAGAGGAAAAATAAAGTTTGTTTCTTGGTTTCCAGATTCTTCTGTCCAGAACGACTAAGGTAGAGGTCAAAAGGCACAGTCTAAAACACAGCTGTAACAAATTAATAATTACATTAACTGTAAATAGCCTGAGTACAACAATTAAAAGATAGTGATTAGCTGTCTGACTGACTTATTTCACTTAACATTATACTCTCTAGCTCCATCCATGCCTTTGCAAATGGCAAGATTTATTCTTTAGGGCTGAATATACATGATTTCACTCATATGTGTAATTTAAGAAACAACCCAAATGAGCAAAGAAAAACAGAGAGAGAGAGGGAGAGAAACCAAGAAACAGACTCTTAACTATACTCAACAAACTGGTGATTATCAGAGGGTAGGTGGGTAGGGGGAATGGATAAAATAGGTGATTGGGATTAAGGGGGCATTGTCATGATGAGCACTGAGTAATGTATGGAATTTTTAAATCACTAGATTGTAGGCCTGAAACTAATATAACACTGTATGTATGCTAACTATATTAGAATTAAAATAAAAACTTAATAAATTTAAAAAGAGAGAGAAAAAAAGATAGGCAAAGAGGATTTAAAAAATGACCCAACAATAAGGCGGCTATAATATAATTATACTATATATAATTTATTATATATATAATATATATATTGTATATATATTATATTGCTTCAAATATAATGACATATATAAGCTAGAAGTATAAAAAGGAAAAAAGATGTCATTTAAGTATTAATAAAAAGAAAGTAGATTGACTATATTAATATCACAAAAGTAACCTACAGGGCAAAGAATATTATTAGGGATATAGCAGAACATTATATAATTATAAAAGTGTCAACCCACCAGGAAGACAGGAAGACATAGCAATCCTAAATGTGTATTCCCTGAACAACAGACTGCAAATACCTTAAGCAAAAATTGATGGAACTGAAAGGAGAAAGAGACAAATTCACAATTATAACTGGAGATTTCAATACTACTCTCTCAACAACTGATAGAATAACTAGACACAAAATCATCAAGGATACTCAACACCATCAACAAACAAGATCTAATTGACATTTACAGAAAATCTGCATAACAAAAGAACACACATTCTTTTTTAAGCACAGAATATATACCAAGACAAAGCATAGCCATGGCTATAAAAAAAAATCCAAAAAATGTAAAAATACTAAAAGCAAATAGAGTATGTTCTCTGTCCACAATTGAAACAAACTAGAAATCAGTAACAAAAAGATAAGAAAATCTCCAAACTCCTGGAAACTAAATAACATGCTTCTAATAAATCCATGAGTCAAAGAAGTACAACAGAAATAAATATTTTAAACTGAATGAAAATACACATATAAAAATGTGAGGAACACAGCTTAAGCACTGCCAAGAGGGAACTTTATAGCATAAAGAGGAGATGAAAAGTCTGAAATCAATAATCTAAGTTCCCATTTGAAGAAACTAAGAAAGAATAGCAAAACAAATCCAAAGCAAGTAGAAGCAAATGCATAATAAAGATGAAAGCAGAAATCAAGAAAATTGAACACAGAGAAACAATAGAGAAAATCAAATAAAAACCTGGTATTTTAATAAGTTTAATAAAATTGAGGGGCGCCTGGGTGGCGCAGTCGGTTAAGCGTCCGACTTCAGCCAGGTCACGATCTCACGGTCCGTGAGTTCGAGCCCCGCGTCGGGCTCTGGGCTGATGGCTCAGAGCCTGGAGCCTGTTTCTGATTCTGTGTCTCCCTCTCTCTCTGCCCCTCCCCCGTTCATGCTCTGTCTCTCTCTGTCCCAAAAATAAATAAACGTTGAAAAAAAAAAAAAAATTGACAAAGGTAAAAGGAGAGAAGACATGAATTACTGATATTGGGAGTGAAACAGAGAATATTGCAGAAGACCCTTCAGACATCAAAAGAATAATGGAATACTACCACCAACTCTACACACATATATTAGACAACTTAGATGAAGTGAATTCCACAAGAAGCACAAACTACCACAACTTTCTTAATCTGAAATAGATCATTTGACTAGCCCTATACCTAATAAGAAAATGAATTTGTAATCAAAAACTTCTACACCAGAAATCCCCAGGCCTGGATAGGTTCTCTGGAGAACTCTACCAAACACACAAGAAGTAATTAAAATTCTACACAATATTTTCCAGAAAATAGAAGACAAGGGAACATTTTCCAACTCATTCTATTAAGCCCATATTAACCTGATACCAAAAAGAGATAAAGGCAGTGATAAAAAAAGAGATAACTATAGACCAATATCCTTCATTATTACATATGCAAAAATGTATTAGCTATATTGGTTCAATATTCAAAAACCAATCAATAGAATCAACCAAATTAACAGGCTAGCGAAGAAAAAAACCCACATGATCCTTTTAATATAGACACAGAAGAAGCATCTGACAAAATTCGACATCCATTCATGATAAAAATTCTCAACACATTAGGAATATAACGAACCTTTCTCAACTTGTTTTTTTTTTTTAATTCTACAAAAAACTTAAAGCTAACTTTGTGCTTAATGGTCAAAGATTGAAAGCTTTCCTTTAAGACCTGACGCTAGGTAAGGATGTCCACTCTCACTGCTACTGTTCAACATAGTACTGAAAGTTCTATCCAGCACATGGTAAGACAAGGAAATATAAGGTATATAGATCACAAAGGAAGAATGAAAACTTTCCCTATTTGGAGAGGACATGATGGTCTACCTAGAAATCCCAAGGAATCAAGAGCAACAAAAAAAAATTCTTAGAATTAGTGATTTCAGTGAGGTCACAGGATAGAAAATCAACATTAAAAAATTAGCCATATTTCTTTATACTAACAATGAACATGTGGAAACCAAAATAAAAAACACAACAGCGTTTACAATTGCTTAGAAAAATAAAATACAAAACATGTGCAAGACATATATTGAAAAGTACAACAGCTGATGAAATAAATAAAAGATGTAAACAGACAGAGAGATATTCCACATTCATGGACTGGAAGACCCACTATAATAAAGATGTCAATTCTACTTAAATTGATATACAGGTCTGGGGTGCCTGGGTGGCTCAGTCAGTTGAGAGTCTGACTTCAGGTTAGGTCATGATCTCAAGGTTCGTGAGTTCAACCCCCGCATTGGGCTCTGTGCTGACAACTCAGAGCCTGGAGCCTGCTTCAGATTCTGTGTCTCCCTCTCTCTCTGCCCCTCCCCTGCTCGCACTCTTTGTCTCTGTCTCTCTCTCAAAAATAAACATTAAAAAATTTTTAAATTGGTATACAGGTTTAATGCAATTCCTATCAAAATCCCATCAATATTTAGACATAGACATAGTTATTCTAAACTTTTATGAAAAGGCAAATAAACTAGAGTAGCTAAAACAATTTTGAAAAAGAATAAAGTGGAGGAATCAGTCTGGCCAATTTCAAGACATTACATGGTTACAGTAATCTAGACTGTGTGGTAGGGGTAGAGAGACACATAGACAAATAAAACAAAATAGAGAACCCAGAAATAGCCCCACACAAATACAATCACCTAATTTTTAACAAAGATGTGAAAGCAATTCTTAAGATGGACAGTCTTTTATTATTTTATTTTAGTATAGTTGACACACAATGTTACATTGGTTTCAGGTATACAACACAGTAATTCAACCTCTCAATATGCAATATGCTCACTACAGGGGTAGCTAAAATATGTCACTATACAACACTATCACAGTATCATTGACTATATTCCCTTTGTTGTGTCTTTTATTCCCATGACTTATTCATTCTCTAACTGGTCTCTTGTGTTCCCCACCCCATCCCAACTCTGGCAACCATCAGTTTATTCTCTGCATAGACCTGATTCTGCTTTTTGTTAATTCATTTGTTTTGCTTCTCAGATTCCACATTAGTGAAATCATATGGTATTTATCTTCCTCAGTGTCATTTATTTTACTTATCACAATACCTCTAGGTCTATCCATGTTGTTACAAATGGTAAGATCTCATCCTTTTTATGGTGGCATAATAGTCCATTGTATACATATACCACATCTTCCTTATCCATTTGTCTACTGATCAACACTTAGGTTGCTCCCATATCTTGGCTGTTGTAAATAATGTTCCAATAAACACAGGGGTGCAAATACCTTTTCAAATTGATATTTTCCTTTTCTTTGGGTAAATACACAGTAGTAGAATTACTGGGTCATATAGTATTTCTATTTTTAATTTCTAGAGGAACCTCCACACTGTTTGCCACAGTGGCTGTACCAATTTACATTCCCACCACCAGTGTACGGGGGTTCCCTTTTCTCCACATCCTCACCAACACTTGTTATTTCTTGCATTTTTTTAGTCATCCAGACAGGTGTGGGGTGATATCTTATTTGGTTTTGACTTGCATTTCCCTGATGATGAGTGATGTTGAGCATGTGTCTGTTGGCCATCTGTATGTCTTCTTTGGAAAAATGTCTATTCAAGTCCTCTGCCCATTTTTAAATCAGGTTGTTTGGGGTATTTTGGGTGTTGAGTTGTATAAGTTCTTTATATATTTTGGATATTAACCCTTTATTGGATATACTGTTTGCAAATATCTTCTCTCATTCAGTAGGTTGTCTTTTTACTGAAAACCTTTTTATTGTCCTTCACTGTGCAAAAGCCTTTTATTTAATTTTAAATAAAGTTGCTGGAGCGATTAGATATCCATAGTCCAAAAGTGAAACTTCTACAGAAAGTAACTCAAATTGATCATGGGCTAAATGTAAGATAGA